CCCTAATCCCTCAACCCTAAACTCTAAGGTTAGAAGTATGGGCCTCTAATATGGACCCTTAGGCCTTGCTAGGGACCCTTAGGGGTACATATAGGGTATATAGTAGGTATATAAGGATCCCACCCTTAAGGGCCCATACTAGGGACCCATGGTTTCAAACTTAGATAAACCCTGAACCCATTTGGCTCAAGCGAAACGGGACATCGGGTCGGTTTCGAGGAACTTGCTCCGGGCTGACTTACTTGTCGCCCCCCATTTAGTCCCTGGGGACGGGCAACGTCCACACACGTCACACGTTGCGCAGGTTTCCTGCACGTGTGTGTGAAGGGGATGCCTTTACCAGAGGTGTTGACCTACTCCAGTTGGGTGTGGCCAGGGGATGCGGGCAAGGACGAGTCCATTGCACTGTTCCACGCCGAGGGCTTGCCAAAGCGAGTCGCCCCATCGGTCTCTTGGAAGGACGTGGCGAAGCGCGGAAGCGGGTTCTGCAAGAGCTGGAAGCGACCGGAGATCATCCATTCTGCTCGCGATACTGAAGCCCAGTCTCGCGAGACCTCTACTCTCGAAGTGAGTGCAGAACCCTAAACCCTAAACCCTAAACGTGGTGATGGATCAGATGCATAAGGTCACGGCTCAGTTTGAAGCTGGTCTCGCCAAGGCTCGTCACACTCACGCCGCCTCTTCTAGCGATGTCAGCAACACCGTCAGACTGGACTTCGAATTTCCTGGCTCGGCCGGACGAGACGTCGTGCCGTCGTATAAACGTGGGCGACCGTCCCGTGGCTGAGCATTGCGGAACAGCCCGCGTCTGGGCGGAGGACGAGCTCTCTGGTTTGTTTCGGACTCTTTGTCGAGAGAGAGGATCTAGTTAGGGCCTAGAGTGTAGGGTTCAGATCTATTCCAAAACAAAGTCCTGACCCAAAGGAGCCTTAGTGTACGCCGTACTTCCTACCCTCTTGCCTAAGCCCTAAACCCAAACCCCTAAACCGCTCCCCCGGGACAAACATCCGAGGTGAACGTCCTAGCACCAGAGTACCCCGGTTATGGGATGTACCTTGGCCGGATCGACGACGGAGGGCATCATCAGGGTTTAGGGCTTTGGGTTTAGGGTTCATCATCGACTTCATCATCATCAACATCATCATCATCATCATCAACACTTAGGAGTTTGTTTTAGGCGGGTACTTTAAAGCTGGGGATGGTTTAGAGTTTAGGGTATAGGGTTCAGTCGCGAACTGTTGAGATTTGGGGCTTGCGGTGTTTCGGTCCATGCATAAGGGGTTGTTAGGCTTATGGTCCTCAAGGTTTCCTTGCAGAAGTTTTATTAATTCAGGCCAAAGCATGCGCTACATAAGTACGGAGACCGAGGAGTAGAGAACCGCTACCAAATGGTTTCCTTTCAATGCAAATGTTTCAACGAACAGCGTAGAGCATGCAACGCCTGCTCCAGCAAGGAGGTCTTACGAAAACTGGCATCAGTTTTTGCTTGGAAACACCCTCCGAAACTCCGGCTGTATCGTATATGCGCCCCATACCTGAACATTACAAGCCCGACAGGCATGTTGTGCTAGTAAAGGTTTGAAAGCACAAAAGATCATCGGCCCAACCTCCAGCTCCTTAAACCCTGAACCCGAAACCCGGCACCTAAACCCTAAACTCCAAGCTTCCT